CCCCAAAACCCCAAAACCCCAAAACCCCAAAACCCCTAACTGTGGAAGCCTGATTGAAACACTGATTATTAGTGGCTAATGATGACATATAAGTTATTTCATTTTGTAAAATAAATATAATCGAAAATTTAAAAATGACTGAAACAGAAGATTACCAGGTCATAAACTGGAAAGACCCCGAACTAATGTTTGGTGAAGAGTATCAACCTTTCGATCTAGTTAGAGATCTAAATGGTGATACTATCTTTGATGGAGACTTTGTTGAGAAATCCAGGGATTTAATCGTTGATTCAACCCAGGCTTATCCAGCAAGGAAGGTTTCTATCATGGATGACGAAGTGAAAGAGTATAACTCTCATGAAGCCCCTCTTAATTTTACAACCACTATCTCTGAAGAAGAGCAGAGCGAAGGATGTGTAAATGAAGCTGTGCTTGTCACTGAGGAATCCGCCCAAATATCCCCAGTTCACAGTGACTTAATCCAAGTGAAACACATCTCAGGTGATGGACCCCTAATTTTTGTAACAAAAAAGAGACACTCCAGAATTTTGAAGCAAAGGACTAAGCGCCTAGCCTTCTTGCAAAAATTCCCTGAATATGCTCGACCATACAAGAACAGAGAGAAGAAAATCAAGTACGCTGCTCGTTCTAAGATGGCTAGGGACAGAAAAAGGAATTCTCTCGGAAAGTTCTCCAACAAAATGAGAAAGGACCAAATAATCTCTTTCGAACTCGATGCTAGCGAGGTTTTAGAGGATCCTGACCCTAAGAGAAACAGAAAGACTTAGCTTAAAACGATCTAAATGACGTCTCTTCAGCACTTTCAGGGATCTAAAGCTCTTGAATGGAGCTATATCCACAACAACTTACATAATAGATCAATTTGCTGATCAATTTCTGACTAATAATACTTCCCAAGAAATCGACTGTTTTCAACCGGCATGCTTAAATGGGGTTTTGGGGTTTTGGGGTTTTGGGGTTTTGGGGTTTTGGGGTTTTGGGG